GGTACACTATTTACATTATTCAGACTATTGTCTTCATCTTTGTCGCCATATTTATTACAACGGCATTCTTCTAGAGACTGTGTGTACGCTATCCCGTACAGCTACGGAAAGAAATATAAAGGGGAGACAAGAACACCAGAAAGCTGTAACACGAGGGGAAGTGGAAAAATCAGTCGTGGCTGACCATATATGGAGAGAAAAGGGAGATCACCGCCCTCTGTGGGATCAGGTTGAGATCATAGACAAAGAACACCATTGAAAAATTCGTAAATTTAAGGAATCAGCACATATGCTAGGTCACAAAAATCTCCTGAGCCGACCAAGCATAGAAATGAATACAATATGGGAACCAGTATTAAGGAGTGCCAGAGAAAAGCGATAACACCAAAAAAAATTACAATATGAGCTCTGGTAAAAAGACGCAATGTTAACAGCAAAAACTGCTATATGAGCAATGGTAAAAAATGGTTACTGAAGACATTAGGTTTATAATACCCAGAAATTCATGCACAGGTGTCCTCAAGATAACTGACATTCGTTAAACTAGAACAGTGAGCAGAAGAAGGCCGGAGCGTACAACAACCGAAACGTTTTAATAAATACGGTGACAATAGTCCGAATAATGTAAATAGTGTACATTACATGTTAATATAGGTAGCATAAATAAAAAATGAGCCAGATGTGTAATGGCTAGAAAGCTTGCATCGCTAGAACAATTACAACTCAGTAGTGAGTTCGATCTTAAGTGTTCCACCGTTTCGGCCTTGTGCCACATCTAAGTTGCACTTAGAAAATCATTTGGGCACTTCGATGTAATGCAATGGTTAACAAGCTCATCTCACTAGAACATTTACGACTGTAGCAGCTGTAGGATCTAAGGATCTGCCTAACTTTGTCGAACCCAAGATGTTATAAGAGTTCCGAGTTGGTTACAAAACCCTCCAGTCACATCCCATCTTCCTGCTACCTCAGCGGGACTTATGAAACACTTGGTCTCTTTTTGTCCCCAGGACGTAGACATAAAAAACAAGGATTCGCTTGTCGCTCTTCTGAAACTACATTTTCGTAGGCACAATTTTCATCGTTTTGTAACAAAGAAACAAATAGAAAACATTTACATAATTTCCTATCATTGGAAAAAAAAAACAATCCATTAAAAGTACTTCCTCGGCATGGACGTGAATATACGTTTTTACCGAAAGTTAATTTTTCAGATACGGACGTATAAATACGTCTAAATTGTAACGTTCAAAAACCAATTAGAGACGTGTTTATACGTCGATCTTGATTCGTTTTATATACTTCTGAACTTAAAACGAGTCCAGTTGTGACCTCACACGTCTAGTGGAGGTGTCAGCCACAGCTCGGGTATTTCAGGGTGCCTCAGTTACAATATTAAAAGTAAATTTAAACAAATTCGCCTGAAAATGAAACGTTTTTCCCAACATAATTGTCGGGAAAGCGGTTAAAAATTACAAAAAAAGAAAAAAAAAGAAATACAAATTAATTAAATTTTAAAATGTCAAATGTTGTATTCGAGAGTTTTTTTTTTTAATCAGTTCAACCCAAGCAAGGCAATAAAGCCACTAAGAAATAAAGGATTATTAAGTTAACATTTACTAAGAAATATAGCAAAGTTGTAATAAAATGCTTGAGGTATTGCGGCCACATATAGTCCGGTGCCTCTTCTATTTACCTTGAGCTCCTTGATAATATCCAAAGAAGAATCCGCAATATTATTGGTCCTGATCTGGCGGCTCGGTCAGTCACTTTCCTACCACCATAAGGTAGCCTCTCTATATTTTTTCTATAAATACTTTCATGGTAATTGTTCGGATGAGCTCTTCGCTATGGTACCTAGAATTTTTGAATATAAGCGCAGTACCAGGCTGGCGTCGAGATCTCATCAATTTACAGTTGAGCTAAATAGATGTAACCGTAAGTTCTATGCTAATAGTTTCTTCTCTCTCACTTCTCACTCGTGGAACTCCCTTCCGGCTCCATGTTTTCCAGGCAACTTTAATCTTCCAAAATTTAAATGCAATGTCAATCGCTATCTACTGTCTTCTTGATTACTTTTTTTTCTCTCTCTGCTCATCATTATTATTTCTGTTCCTAATTCTTACACACCCTGTAACCCCCTTGTGTCTTAGTGGCTTTGTTGCCATTTTCGGATGATTCCGATTTAAAGAAAAAGAAACTGTATAAATCAAACATCTTCCTGATGCCATCAATTCCATAGTGGACATCTACGCAGACGACACTACTATTTACTCCTGTGTCGATAATAAATCTGGCATTGTTGGCAAAACTAACCTGGGCGTTGGTCTCGAAAAGGAACTTCAATCTGTGGTTGATTGGGTCTGGAAATAGCTTGTAAACTTTAATGCCTCCAAAACGAAACAGCTCTCATTTACCCACCATAAAGAACCCCCCCTTTCCTCCCATCAGGATGGCTAATGCCCAACTCCACAGGAGCGCCTCTCTGGGCCTGCTTGGTCTCAGGCTTTCCACTGACCTGAGGTGGAGCATTGAAACTACATTGTATCAATTGCTTCATCTACTGCAAGGAAAGTTGGTTCTCTGTGTCGCGCCAGAAGGTTTTTCTCGTCTAAGTCCATCCTTCAAATCTATAAATTTACCATTCGTCCTCGCATTGAATATTGTTGCCATATATGGTCTGATGCCCCCGCTGTTCATCTCGAGCTCCTAGACAAAATCCAAAGACGGAAATGCAATATTATAGGTCTTGATCTGGCATCTCGTTTACAGTCACTTTCTCACAGACGTGCTGCTACTTCCCTCTGTCTTTTTTTTTACAAATATTTTCATGGCAAATGCGCCGACGAGCTACTTTCACTTTTACTGGTACCCCGAACTGCATGAATTTAAGCGTGTTGGCATCTCGGTCCATCCCTTTCACTGCCGAAACAGTTAAATAAAACCGCCTTTTCTGCACCAACAGCTTCTTCTCTCGCTCTTCCCAACAGTGGAACTCCCTTCCCCTTACTTGCTTCACTGATAACTATAATCTTCAAATATTCAAATGTAATGCCCATCGACATCTTCTGATGCCTTGATCTTGATCCACGTCCTTCTTTATATTCTTTCCTTAAACACCCCTCTTTACTCTTGCTCTCACTCTCTGTAACCCCTTGGGTGCTGGAGGACCTCCCTCCTTGCTTGGGCTGAAATGCTTTAAAAAATGAGGTGGTATTAAAACGATCTGACAACCTTTGAAAAAACAAAAAAATTGATTCATGACTTAATTAGATTTTTAGAAACTGGTCGGATTAAGAACTTTTCATCATCCTTTCGTCTGTACATTGATGAGATTCAAGGGGTCACTTTAAACATTTAGTGGGTACATGTGCACGAGTAGACATCCCTGTCTTTTAAACATTGTAAATTTACATCTACCGGCATGTGTATTCGAGAATCTTAATCAAGAAAATGCGACCTATATAACGTTTAGTGCAATAAAAGATAATGCCGGATTATAAATGAAAAGCCTTTAAATCTCTAGAAATATTTCTGTTGTTTGCCAGAATTCGGGCGAATTTTTAGTGACATAGGAAATAGGTTCACAGAAATAAGTTTTTAACTATTTATTATTATTATTATTATTTATTTTAATTTAATCTGTTTTGTATCTAACGAAAAAATATTAGGGACGTAAAAAAATATGGGGAGATAATTGGTTCAGAATTTCATAGACAAAAAATGGGAGCGTAAAAAAAGGGAGCACCTCTCCGAAAAAAAAAATTAATCCCTTCGCTGTCAGTGTCCAAGATGTCTGTGACATTTTAGTACATAAATGTGCTTAGAACTGTCATCTATATTATAAATGCGAATGTCAGTGTGTCACGCTTTTTCAACTTTACTCTTAGAGGCTATAGCCTGACATATACCATTTTGGAATCACAACGACTCCGTGAGCAAATTAAAAATATTCCGGGTCGGATCCAGACCCCACAATTCCTGAAATTTTGGATTTCCAAGGTTTTATTATTGCGATTGTTTTCGTCGATTTTTTACGTGATTTGTTTGCGACGAATTTTTTTTTTTTTTTTTTTTTGTACGATAAAAATTTTTATAACTTGAAACTAAATTTGGGAATAATTGAAATTAATTGCGAATTCCAGCGAAAGTCACCCATGAAATAAAAATAACTGTTTGTACGGAAAGTAAGGGCCTACGTACATCAAATTGTCTTTAAATTAAGTGGCGACAGAAGAATTATCGTTGAACTTTTTAAAAGGAAAGGTATGTTTTTAAATATTAATGCAATACTTAAAAATGCAGCGATCAATTTTGAGTTCTTTTGTAGTTTATTCCTGCCTATTGCATCTACTCCTCCCTACCTATTGTGATGAAGGCCCAAGGAAGAGCCCTCCGCAGGATCTAGCTAAAATGCTGCCCGATAGGTCGGCTTTTAAGCTAGTATCTAATATGGGACGAAGTTATTTTTTCGATAGCGTAACTTTTGGGGTCATTCTAGTTGAGTACTCGTTAGTGTGTGTGTGTGTGTGTGGATGTGAGTGTGTGTGTGTGTGTGTGTGCGCGCATGCGTGTGCTGTGTGTGTATATGTATGTGTGCGCATGCGCGCGCGTGTGTGTGTGTGTATCCGTATCGGTGTGTGTGTGTGTGTGAGAGAGAGAGACTACTATTTGTTGTGATGTGTAAACTATAGAAAAAAAAATCTTTCCTCTTCCAATTATTTTTTTTTATTTACCTAAAGCACTAAGATTTTCCCACGCTTTCTTTTTCTTTTCTTTTCTTTTCTTCTTTTCTTTTTATTTTATAGATCTCTCCCCTCTGTGTCTTACGCTTACTTCCTCTTTTTCTCGATATCCTTTCTTCTTACACATATCTCTCCCACTACTGCTATCTCATACATTTTTTTTTTTAACCTCACAAATAAAAGTCTTCCTCCGCCTTCAATTTAAGTCGTTCTCCTTCGTACGCCTATAACTGTCTACCGATTTTGTCGGGCTACCTGAAGTTCGCTTCTGGCCAGGACCGCGGACAAACTAAAACGATACTCGGCACAGCGGAAGACTGCTAAACACATCCCACTAAGTTGGGTCACCGGCAACGAATATTATCACATCAACAAGGATAAACTTTTAAAAATCGAGAAAAGGAGAAAAAAAAAGAAGAAAAAAACAAAAATTAAATTAAATATATTTTTTTAAAAATATGCTGCTAAAATAAACAATATAAACAAAACGAACTATAAACACATCAACAATTAAAAAAAATATAATAAAAAAAAAACTCGATTTAAAAATTCTTCCGCCGAAAAAAAAATCTTTTAACCACTAAAATTAATATCTTTCGAGTCATTTACGGAAGCAGCAACTTGAAGTAAACTACTTTTTGATATTCGTTAGTACAGATCCAGGTTTGGCACCCAGTGAGGATTATACTCTTTTCCGTAACAATCGGTTACCCGATGGGCTTCCTAACTACAGCGACATAAAGTGATTTATATATATCTATATATATAAACAAATATATATATATATATATATATATAAATCATTTGGTTAATTATACCAATTGAATTTTTCTTCGAGGAAATAAAAATTTCGGAACGTCGGGAAATTTACCAACACAGGAATTCTTCTTATTGATGTGTGCTTCCAATGCGTCTATAAATTTCGATATCTGAACTTAACCGCGCGTACATTACAGAATTAATAGAACAACCATAATATATATATAAAAAAAAAAAGGCTTGACGAGAACTTTATTTTTGAATGACTCCAAGGAAGCTTCTGTTGCCGAAGAGAAAAGGAAATCCCGAATAATAGAGAGAAGAAAATCCTTCTATATATATATATATACATAAATAAAAGACTTTTTCACAGTATTTACACTTGGCTGGTTCAGACTGTGAACATTCCCCCCACCCCAGACAGGAAGCATGTTTTAGGTGAGATTATTATTATTATTATTATTATTATTATTATTATTATTTGTGTATCTTATGTTTCCTGCTTTGTATCCTGTAGAGCCGGGTCAAAATTATGGCCCTGGGGCACTTAATTGATAGAACTTTTCTTAGAATATGGGGTGTTCCTAGTAGGGCGATCTTCTGGGCAATTTGTATGTTGATGTTACCTGGGACACTATTATTATTATTATTATTATTATCAATATTATTTCCTTTGATTTCTGTTGTATACGCATTTCCTTCCGGGTCCCAACCAGAGACCTAAGGTCAGAAATGGTTTCATGACATTTTCCACTGATCATTTTTGTAAAAAACAAACTATGATAAAAACACATTTTACAAAGATAAAGCTCTTCGTAATGTATGAGCGGTACTGTACATTTTTTTTTGTATTTCTTTAAGGCATGAACTAACAGGAATCCCTTCAATGAATCTTATAGGAATCTGTTCTAATCAATCCGAGGGCACCAACTACAACCGGAATTATTGATGTTCTCATGTACCATATTTTTGTCATTTCCACTTCAAGGTCCTTGTATTTTGACAGTTTTTTGAAGATCTTCTTCTTCTTCTTCTTAAAAATTAAATAAACGACCCAAGAACACACACATTAGAAGCTTTTCCCATCCAACTCAGGATCCCAGCCACAACTGGAATTATTTAAGTTTTCAGGTGCCACATTTTTTTAGATTTCCACTTCATTTTTTATTATTATTATTATTATTATTATTATTATTATTATTGTGTATGGTATCATAATTTTAAATGATATCATAATTTTGAGCGCGCTCCGACTCCTATCTGTAAAAGGGCCACTGTAGGAGAATTATCCAGGGTATGCATGCACATTTAGAAGGGGAGGGTTTTGCAGATGACATATACAATTTTCTCATACTTCCCACCTGCGGAACTCCATTCCGATTTCTTGCTTCCCTGATAACTACAATCTTCAAAAATGTTAGGGCAATGTCAATCGCCATCTTCCGTCTTCCTGAAACCTTTTCCTTTTTTATCCTTTCCTCTTTCCATTTCGCTCTCTGTATTAGTGACATTATCGCCTTGCTTGGGGCGAAATGGTTTATATATATATATATATATATATATATATATATATATATATATATATATATATAATTATTTTATTTTTATGATGATTCCGTAAGTATTCTCACGTTTCAAAACAGGAGCTAAAAACTTCAATTTAATTATAAAAATTAAATTGAATTAAAGTATCAAGCTCTGTTTCATCTTCAAGCGAAATCTTATGGAATAACTAATATTGAAATTTACGGATCTTTAAAAGCATATTCATTCGTAAAATTAATTACTATGGAAACGGCTGAAGCAATTATTTCAATAAAGGGCGTAAGGGTTAACATATTGTATCAATTTTAGGCTCTTTTTTAAAAATAAAAACAAAAAATACTAAAGAACTTCGGATTATTAACCTAACGTATTCTTATTTTTTTATATATTTGCACACACACACACACACACACACACACACATATATATATATATATATATATATATATATATATATATATATATATATATATATATATATAATTTTTCCATTTGTCATGCTGTTTATTATGTGTCAGGGTTCATATGGAAAGAATTAAAAAATGCCCAAAGAAAAATTTACATAGTATTTAACGACACATGATATCTCAACAACATGACATGGCTCCTAACAAGCCTTTTTCTTTGGGGCCTCGACTACATGAATTTAAGTGTGATACTGGATTGGCAATTAGGTCCCACCGTTTTACTGTTGAAATAGCTAGATGCAACTGCCACTTCTACTCTAACAGTTTTTCTCACATTTCCCGCCTGTCAAACTCCCTTCCGATTTCTTGCTTCCCTGGTAACTACAATCTTCAAAAATTTAACTGCAACGTCAAATGCCATCTTCTGTCTTCTTGTACGCTGTTCCTTTTTTTTTCTCCTTTTCTCAATCCTCACCATTCTCAGTCTTCTCATTTCCTTTCACTTTAGGCATTAACTTATCAGTCTTTAATTTAATGTCTGCCTGCTGTTAGGTGTCAAATCTTTGCCATAACACATTTATAAGATAATAATTTCTTTTTCAAAAAATGAGGATGTATTTTGCTTTTGAAATCAAATTAATTATTCATTCACCTGTAATCTACAATCGCCTGAGGAGACGCATCGTTATGTGTTGAAACCTGATTGCAATTGTGTAGCGATCCTTGTACTTTTTTCTTGTAATTTTTTATTATTATCCCGTAACCTGTAGTGTCATAGGGTCACCATGTGTACTGCAACCGCAGTAGAAGTGGTGTTTCTTGAGCAAGATAGCCTGATGGAGCCCGACCCTCTTCAGGCCGATTTTGAATTCAGAGTTTTTCCTTCTTCTAAACAGGTTGCCACCCAAGGCTATAGAACCCCGTCTGCCCTGCTATTTACCCATAGCTAGGGGAGAAGAAGAGGATTCATACCTTTCCAAAGTATATTAGCACATAAGTGAATGTAATGGATCAGACTGAATTCGAACTCGGCTCTCCGATTCCCACAACCCGAGCCGCTATATTTGTTATATATATATATATATATATATATATATATATATATATATATATATATATATATATATATATATATATATATATATATATATATATATAGGGAGAGAGAGGGAATTGATTTAATCCGACAATTATTTTAATATTTTTCTGATTATACGTTATTTTTTTTATGGATATCCATAAGAAATAACGTATAAACAGACTATATATATATATATATATGAAGAAATATAGTCTTAAGATGTGTGATATATTTGTAGGATAAAGTGCTCAATATCAGAGATAGATAGAGTTTCATAAATATAAATTGAACATAGCATCAAACACTTAGAGGCGACAGTCTGTTTCATGCTAAGTGGCCTGACGATTGGGTCTAGCATGAAACAGACTGTCGCCTCTAAGTGTTGATTTTCTCTGTTCACTTTTTTTTATATATATATATATATATATATATATATATATATATATATATATATATATATATATGTATGATCTTATAAATATAAGTATACTCGTCCGAAAAAAAAAACTTTTAGGTTTTGGCTTAGCAGAATGAACCAATACCCAATATATATATTGAGGTATGTGTTCTTAAAGTCTATAGAATTTTTACGTTTAATAATTTTTTTGTGTTTCTTTTCCTGCTTTCTAGCAAGTTTTTTTTTTTTTATATTTGGATCTAAGTTGTTGAAAAAAGACCCTAGTCTTTGGTGTTTTATACAGACAAACCTCTCATCTACGGACCCCCGTCAACGGACTTCGGATGCAACGAACAAAATCTGCAGGCGAAATACAAAAAAATCAACAGGGAAAAAAACTTCCAAATCGTCTGCGATGTATTTCAAAATTTGCGGGTTTAGCAGAACGAGTCGTATTAGCTCTCAAAATGACCGCTTGGCGGCGGTAGCGGGCCTTTCAATTTTAAACAAAGACGGTTGTATAGTATATACAGAATGATATATATTTGCGCGAGAAATCTATCATTTTGTTATTTTGATTAATATGTCTATATTAAGTATATATTTATTTTTGCCATATAGACAAGTTTATAATATTTACATTATGATCATAACTACTGGTAGTTACTATAGTGGTTTTAGAACTCAAAAATAATCCCTTCCCAAAAAAGCATCAGAGAGTGTTATCCTGAAAAGGATAGTTTTGAACTTGGTGAGGAGAGTTGTCCTGAAAAGGACAGTTTTGTAGTCGCTAAAAAGTGTTGTCCTGAAAAGAGTTTTGTTGTGACTGAAGAGCATTGTTCCGAAAAGGAGAGTTTCGTAGTCACTGAAGAGTGTTGTCCTGAAAAGGACAGTTCTATGGTCGTTGGAAAAACGTTGTCCTGACGAAGACTTTTTATTGCATATCGTTGCTGCTGGTTAGGATGGCTCGAGTGGAACACCTGTTGGAGATGGATGGATGGCTGAAAGTGCTACCGTAGGTCGACTGTCGGAACAGATACTACATTTTGATCATAGTCCTCTGGGACGCAGAACGATGCTTTTTTTTTTCCTACTCTTGAGACCTTTTTATAACCTAAAAATCAATTTTCCTACCATCACT